TTGGCAAAAGAGCGAGGGATAGAGAAAGGATGAGTTTATAAGCAAGAGCTAGGGTGGGAAAAGAGGAGATGATGAAAGAGGTTTAGACATGTTTAAAGTATTTGTTAAATATGCAGATGAGGCTTAAGGGCATTGAGGGTGTGAGATACAACTGGTAGTTGGAACCTTGGGAGTAAATAAGATTTCTTGGATCAAATGCACAGCTTATCACTACAGAGAGGCTGAAAATGTTTAATTTATCTGGAATTCAAACTTATAGTTACATATTCATATTAGCCTGTATAGATTCCAGCATAAGAAGTACTTGTTCTTGGTACTGGTTTTTGGCATCTGACAAGTAGGAAAATTGAAAAACAAAATCAAAACCTGTAAGAAGTAGGACCCCAGCTCACGATACCCTCCTACACCCAGGGCAGACATCTTGGGAATGGGAGCCAGAGAGAGGGTATCTCCAGGTCAAATCTCAGCATCCACAGGGGACTGGCAATCCTAGTCCCCACCCAAATTAGCTACCAGCGCTGAGGAGCCTGATCTGTGGATGTTCTATGAGAGGTATTTTTTGAAGTTGGATGGATAGCAGCATCACAGTTTCAGATTTGGATCAGTCATGCATGAAGAGTATAGGAAACAATACCCAACCCTCAGGAGAAGGGGCTGGTGCCAGGGTCCCAGGCAAGCAGGCTAGAGTTCAGGGCAAGTTTCAGACCCAGTGGAGCAACTGGATTGCAAATCAGTATACCAAGGTGGAAAAACAGTCTTCAAATAAAGTAAACATAGGTTGAGAGAAAGAGATGCTGCCCAATGGTTATAGGAAACCTAGGCACTCACCAGCAATCCAGGGTTAGGGCCAGAAGAGCAGTTCTAGACCCTACCCTCCAGTGGGAATAAGGGTCCTGATAAGGTTGGTCAGGGCAGTTTGGGGACTGGATGGCATTCATCTTACAGTTTGAAACTTACAGTGCAGAAGCAGGGATTGGCATTTTTACTTTCATCTCTAACACTTCACTCTGTGATCCTCAAAGATCCAATAAACTGACATTTACTTGGAATTCTAGTCTTGTCTTCTCCAGATCTACCCTTAGAGTCCCATTGTGCCTGTACATGCATACATGTGTATGTATGTGTGCATACACACTCACAGGGTTACTTTCTACTTCTGAGTTCCAGGAGGTACATAAGTGATGTGCAGTGATGAGCAGACCCAGGCACTGTCACTGTTGAACTCCTAATAACATATTCTAGCACTCTTGTGCAGTTTTTGCCCTGTACACACTTGGCATCTCACACCTTGATCTCTGTGCTTGCATAGCTCTAGGTTTGTAGCTTCACAGAAGTTAGCAGACTGCTCTTGATAGCAATGCTAGCAACTACATTTATTGAATGCTCACTATATACCAGGTATTATTCTAAATACTTAAGATACAATCTCACTTAACCCTCAAACAACTCCATAACTTAGTTATTATTATTCTGGTTTTGCCAGTGAGGACACTGAAAGTCATCAGAGTTGAGTAATTTGCCTGAGGTCATATAAAGCCTGGATTCTTACTTAGGATTGACTACAAAATCCATGCCTTTAAGTATCATGCTATGAAAAGGCAGATGTTTCTAAGAATGTATTTTTTATTCTTGGGAGCATGAGTTTATGTTTATGTCATAGAAGCTGAACATTGACCAACCTCTGTTAATAATTTAAGAGAGTCCAATGGCTTGCTCAAGTGGCTAATCTCATTAACAGAGAACAGAGCTTAGAAGGAGGTTATTCTTGGTAATCATCTAATCAGCAAAACCACAAACTTAACTTTCTCTCTAAAAAAATAAATAAATCTCACTACACTTTTGTATAGCACCCACCTACATGATAAAATTGTCTGTACACCAAACTCCTGCAACACGATTTACCTGTGTAACAGACCTGCACATGTGCACCTTGAACCTAAAACAAAAAGTTGGAAAGGAAAAAAAGAAAGAAAGGCTAGGAAATGTGATTCAGTGCCAGAATAGTAGCAAAGCAGAAAGGTGGTGTGGTCAAGCACACAGCCTTGTATGGGAATGGTGCCTGTGAGTGGTTATCCAGCCTTAGCCACTGATAATTGAAGTCATTTCACCCTCTCATCCCATTTTTCTTACCTGAAAAATGGGGTGTAATTAAGGATTTGAAGGATAATTACAAGGTTAAAAAATTAATGCAATAGAATTTAAGGAGAAACTATAAAGAAGTGAGTTTGCTGGTGAGTGCCTAGGTTTCCTATAACCACTGGCAGCTGTGTAAGTGAGGGAGATGTAGTGTGGAATTGTGATGTGGAATTGGCCATATCAACATTTAGGAATGGTGAAGGGAAGCACGGGAACTAGGGTTCTTCAGTGAGCTTCCAGATGGAATTGTTTGCTTTTTGATGGGGCTGATCTATGTTATCTTTATGTAATCAAGCCTGGTGGTGATGGATGGTCATCAAGATTCAGGATGGGAGGTGAGGGGAAAGGTTGGCAAGGTGAGGGAGAATTAGCATTTGAGAACTACTCTTTACCAGTCACAGTGCTCTTCTACTGAGTCTCCTCTGGGAAGGTGCCCAATGAAAGAACGTTTGTTAACAAGTCTGAAGAGTAAGCATTATGATGCTCATTCTATAGATGAGGAAAAGGAGTTTAAGATTGCTCAAGAAACCATCCCTAGTATATGGCCAGATGAGATTCAAAGCCACTCCTATTTGATGCCAATACTGTTTTCCTATACTTCTGACTTATTTAACTAGTTTACTCTGTAAAGTCCTAGAAATTCCCATATTAATAGCCACTCACTTGCTCATCCATTTCTTCATTTATTCTGTAGGTGGCTACTGAGCAAAGGGTAAGTCCAAAATGCTTTGAGAGTCATTCAATAAATCTCAAATACACTGTTGAATTCACTTCCAGGTTTTACAGAATGCAGAAACGCCTTTCCCCAATAGGAATTAGGACCTACTTTTTCATTGTTCCTTTCATTGAATAGAGACATTGGTCTGGATGTCAGAAGATATGAGTACAAATATGTATCTTGCCCTTGTCAAGAGTCCTTCAGTAAAGAGGCATATTCATAAATAATTTTATGCTTTAGCTGTGGGAGTGAGTTGGCTTTGCAGGGTGTCATTGTGAACATTGGCACTAACAAAGGATAGGACTCCATGGCAAGTGGTCCTTTTTGCATGTCTCTGCCCCAAGCTACTTGAAGCTGACTTGGCAGTCTCCTGGATTCATTTCAGAACCTCTTTATCATATCTTCATATTTGCTTTTTCTGCCTCTCATCATAATTCTATTTCTGCTTCTAACCTCACATCAAGTTAGAAACTCTTGACTCTCCCATTCAACTGAGGAAGTTAAGTTCCCTTTGTTTGGAATTTCTAGATGTTATCATTTGAGTTCATGTGGGACCTTTGCTTCTCAAACATACCCCTGGTCTCTCATTCACTGAAATTTCTCATTCTTTCTTGGTCACCAAGCCTCAGGTTGGATCTTTTTACCACTTAAACTTCTCATCTGCTTTTTAGCCCCCCCTTTTTTTCCTTCTTTTGATTACCCTTCAAAGCTTTTGAACTTAGTCTACAGTATTTGATCTGAAATCCTCCATTTCTCTCAAAGACTTCTTTTCCTCTTCATCTCTGTCCCCTTTGCTGGGTCACCAGCTGGAAGGGAAGTCACTTCCTCCTGAAGTGATACTTCCTGGCTTCATTGTCATTATTTATCAAATATTTGTTGAGTACCTATGGGCTTCACAAGCCAGGGCAGCAAGGTAAGATGCCATCCATACCTCATAAGTCTGAAAGGCCTGATAAGCATGAAAAGAAATACTTGGAAGACTGTTAGAGTAAATTCCAGAAGAAAATGCTGGGTGTACTGATAGCACAAAGGAGGACGCTATAAACTTACTGGTCAGAGAAGGCTTTACAAGAAGTCCTTGAACTGGATTTTGAAAGATGCAAAAGAGTTGCCCAAGCAAAGAAATGAGGAAAAAGCATCCCAGAAACAGGACACATCATGTGCAAAGATGTAGAGGTGTGAAACAAGATATCCCACTGGGGAAGCTATTAGTTGTTTGGTATTCTTAGAGCTTGGCACTCAAACAGAGATGCTTCAAGAGATAAGAGGTGAAGCTGAGGAGGTAAGAGGAACTAGATGACGGAATACCTTGCCAAGGACTTTGGGTTTTATCCTGAAAGCTATGGAGGATGAGTGAAAAGTCTTAAGAAAGAGAGCCATAACAATCAGTTTAGAAAGATCATCTGAACTGTAGCAAGAAGAGTATACTGGGTGTTGACAGAATGAAGGCAGGGAGACCAACCAAGAGATTATTGTAGGAAATGAAGGGGGTCTAAGCAAAGGCAATGGTAATGGGATTAAAGAGAAGGGAAGAACATCTTAACATCTTAAAGATGTTAAGAGATAAGTTGACATGACTTAGTGCCTGACTGGATATAGGGAGTGAGGTTGTATTGGTCTGCTCTCACATTGCTATAAAGAACTGTCCAAGACTGAGTAATTTATGAAGAAAAGAGGCTTAGTTGACTTACAGTTCCACAGGCTTAACAGGAAGCATGAGTGGAGGTCTCAGGAAAACTTACAATCTTCATAGAAGGCGAAGGGGAAGTAAGCATCTTCTTTGTATGGCAGCAAGAGAGAAACAGTGAAAGGGGAAGTGCCACACACTTTTAAACCGTCATATCTCATGAGAACTCACTATCACAAGAACAGCACAGGGGAAACCTGCCCCCATGATACAATCACCTCACCAGGCCCCTCTTCCAAGTTGACATGAGATTTTGGCAGGGACACGAATCCAAACCATATTAGAGGGCGTATTTCTGCACAAGGCAACCAGCTGGATATGAATGCCATTAACTGTAATGGTGAAGATGAGGTTGAGGGGACACAAGTTAGGGAAGTGAAGTGGAAAGGTATGCCCATGTGGTAGAAGGGGAGGTCCAGGATATGGACACTGTTTGGACATGTCTATTCTGTTTTGCAGCCATGGCCAAAGGCCTTCAGGTCACAGTGCCCGACAAGAAGAAGGTGGCCATGCTGTTCCAGCCCACTGTGCTTCGCTGCCACTTCTCTACATCCTCTCATCGGCCTGCAGTTGTGCAGTGGAAGTTCAAGTCCTACTGCCAGGATCGCATGGGAGAATCCTTGGGCATGTCCTCTACCCGGGCCCAGTCTCTCAGCAAGAGAAACCTGGAGTGGGACCCCTACCTGGATTGTTTAGACAGCAGGAGGACTGTTCGAGTGGTAGCTTCAAAGCAGGGCTCGGCCATCACCCTGGGAGATTTCTACAGGGGCAGAGAGATCACGATTGTTCATGGTAATAATGCCCCTGATTTCAATCTAGGAAATGGGAGGGAGGTTGGTTTCATTCTTCCCTTCCCTTATGTCAATAAGGTGATATCCTAACTTCTCACCCTTTCAGACCCTCAAGACTTTGATTTTACTGGAAATGGGAGCATCAAGAGACCTATTACGGGTTGGTGGGTTAAAGAGTTATTACCTCTAACCATTTAATGGGATAGGATGGTGAAGGGGGAAAGGGTGGATGGTGTAAAATCTAGAGAAGACATACAGATTAACTTTGGAGACAGTCTTTCCAGAGCCCAGTATCAATTCTCAGGAGCTTGTTTTTAGAGCTGAATTGAAATGGGTTTTAGGGAAAAAACTTTTTCCATCAGACATCCCATACCTACCTTGACATCAGCTTTTAGGGTTCTTTCCCAAATAGAAAGCAGGTTTTTCGCTGGGGGAAGGGATATATGCATACAAATAACAGAGCCAGGTAGATGCTTGGCCCAAGCCCCAGGTGGCTTTGCATCAATTCTCCCCTTTCTCTTGCTCTCTAAAGCTTTGGACATCAAAAGTTCCCAAGAGTCTGATATGACCTATTTGATTATTTGAATTTTGAAGAACTCCTGTGATGTTAGCTTACTTCCAGGAGTTCAGAATAATTCTAGCATTTTTCTGGCTCCCAGGGGCCTCTGCAGGCCTGGTTCAAAGCCATCTCCTACTCCTGAAACTGGACCAGAACTAGACCGGTTTCTGGCAGGCTCTAATTGTCTTTCCTTAGAGATGCTAGTTTTTGTTATGGTTCTATTAGTCTTGTTTGTTTTAAAGAAAGTACACCTCTTTCAATCACCCTCCAGATAAAGAAAGAAAATAGTGCAGACACTCCAGAGGGGTTCTCCCCTCCCAACCCCCATTGTTCAATGTTTTTCTTTCAGAGGACAGAGTTTTAGGACTGGGTCCTTCTTTTTGTGATAACAGATGCAGATCTTCAAATTGGAAAGCTCATGTGGGGAGACAGCGGACTCTATTACTGTATCATCACCACCCCGGATGACCTGGAGGGCAAAAATGAGGACTCAGTGGAACTGCTGGTGTTGGGTAAGTGAAAACCACAGGTGACATTTTCATTTTAGACCGCTTGCACTGTATCCTGTCCCTCTCCTCACATGTCCCCTGTGTGCATTAGCAGGTTGCATACACAGTCTTTATCTCTCACGCACACACCCTTTTAGAATATGCTCTTTATGAGCAGTAGTTGTACTTACTATGTCTTGCTTCTTGAAAGCTACGACCACCCCCTTCCCCTGCTTTTATCATTGTCCCGAATATTTTTCTGCTTTGTTGGTTTTTTCCCCTCCTTTCCACTTTCACCTTTAACCCTGATTTTTCTCTTTGTCTTTTTATATGCTAATTTTGAAGAAAATGCAAGAGGCCCTTGAAGCCAGCTAGAGATTACATAGAGGTTCTGATGTGTCAGAACCTCTGGAGACATCAGGAATCTTTTCCCACTAGATTACCTCCATTAAGACAATCATAAGAAAAGATAGTGGTAAAGTGGAGAGTTTAGTAATAAAAGATGCCCAATGAAAACAGCTGCTTGGGAGATGTACTAGTGTTTAATTGGAACCCAAATATCTTGAAACCTAAAAGTGTCCAAGTTATTCTCAAAGCAAATACATCTAATCCTTATTAATATTAATTTCCTCATAAATGAAAACTCATTACTTTTGACTACTTTCCTTTTTTGTGGATTGGAGGAATGTCAGTGGGAGCTGACCTCTTTGTATGAAACTGAAAATTGAGCACATATTTTGTGCTCTATTAATGTTGTTTGAACAAGAAAATTAGAACATACAGAAATAAGAAAAGAAACTGCATAATTGTAGGGAAAAAGGTAGTTCAGGATATATACTTAAAGCCATTTTTCAAAAGAAATTACACTTTTGTAGCTTCCAAGAAACCAGATGATGGCAATTTGGAGGAATATGTTAGAGAACCTCCTATTAAAAGTAAGTGAAGTTGAAGGTTGATTTGTACCCTATGTAAAAATTATAGAAAAACTCAATTCCTAGGGAGAAAACGGCAGTTGCTATTTATGATTTTTAGTTTTAGTCTTTATCATGATTGTGTGACTTTGGCAAAACAACTGTTCTGATGCCTTAGCATTATATTTTTTAGTTTTTATTGTTTTATTTTTTAAAATTATTTTATTTGATTTTATTTTTGAGACAGAGTCTTGCTCTGTTACCCAGGCTGGAGTGCAGTGGCTCAATCTCAGCTCACTGCAACTTCTGCCTCTCAAGTGTAAGTGATTCTCGTTTCTCAGCCTCCTGAGTAGCTGGGACTACAGGTGTGTATCATTACGTCTTAGTAGAGACAGGGTTTTGCCATGTTGGCCAGAGCAATCTCAAACTTCTGTCCTCAAGTGATTTGCCCACCTTGGCCTCCCAAAAGTGCTGGGATTACAGGTGTGAGCCACCTCGCCTAGCCACATTATATTTTGTAAATTGGATTAAGGTAATAATGGTCTGCCTTATTAGAAGATTAACTTAATTCAAACAAAGTCTTTGGGTCCAATATGTAAAGTGTAAGTTGTGACTTATAGAAGAATGGAAATATGACTGATATTTAGTAGGAAATGAAGGTAAAAGGCTTATATTGACATTGTAAAAGAACATAAGGAGATCAGATCTGGAATCTGCTGTAACTCTGTAAATCAGAAGGGAATAAAAAGACACATTGTTGATTAATCACACTCTAATAGTCAAGTTTGAAGGAACAATTGGCTCACTGAGCCTGCAATTAGCTAATTGTGAACATAGTTATTTGGCCAGGACAGCCATTTGCAGAGAAGTAATTGCCTGTGCAGGAAAAGGGGGCCAGGTAATAAACACTTTAAATAATTTGGTCCCAGTTGTTCTGCAAACATGGGGAAATGAATACAGTGAAAGCTTTGTCACCTGAGGATGTGTTGAAGTATATGAAGAGCATTCCTCTGGATCAAAACATGCAGAGTAACTTGGGCAAAAATTCTATTCCCAAGGGAAAAAAGGGGCCAGCAGCTGAGAGGTGAGTAAAACAGAAGTTCATATGACAGTGGTCACCAATTATGGAAGGAAAGATGAAGAACAAAAATCGCTATTACTTTAAAGGAATCGTAAAGGAAGCTGTACAGGCTGCAAATCCAAACTCATTGCAGTAGAAGCAGCCTGTCTGTGAAATAAACAGAAATGCTAGAGTTCTTGGGGAGAAAAAACACATCATTCTGTTATGTTCAACATTAATTAGAGGTGTTCAAAGCATGATAAATGTGTCATGGAAGCTCTGTGGGACAACACGAGCTGTGTTACTTATTTAAAGGGGTTAGTTTGAAATCTACAAAAATTTTCTGAGTGCATAAATCACTGTATTTACTCTCCAAATACAAAATTCTGAGTCTTTTTTTATCTTCACACCCCTTTATACAATACTTCAAAATGCTGTCAGTTTTAAAAATTCTTATGTTGGGATTATTTCATCCTGCTGGCCTATTTGTTAAGTATTCTTTTTATGTGAGACCAGGAGAGCAAGCTGATTTCTGAGGTCATTCTTAAGGAGATGAAGACCTCTGTGGGAAGATACTGGAACCCACAGTTTGCTAATTATAATGTTCATGAATCACTGGTTCAGTCATTGAATTTTATATGAGGGTGATTGGAGGATTTGGTCTAGCAAAAGTGGACTTGGAACAGGGAGCATGAGAAGTGTCTCCAAATATTTGAAGTGAAATTATATAGAAGAGAGAATGGAAACATAACTCTGGGTAGATAAAATGGAATCAGGAGTGGAAGTTACAAAGGGAGGGAGTCTATCTCAGTGTAAAAGAAGAGCTGGAGACATCTAACATTAACAACTGGAGACATCTAAAGATGGAATAAGTGTTCTCAGAAGTGAGTTCCATATCCCCGGAGGTACTTATACACAGAAAAAGGTATTCAGAAATAAAGCTTTTGAGCTTTACTTCTATTCTAAAGTTGTTGGTTTAAAAAGTAGATGAACATGATTGATGTGATTCCCTTGATGAATACGAAAATGATCTCCCAGGAAATCAATCCTCGTGAAAGAGATAAATGGAGTAACAGGTTGGTTACAAGAACATACAGGGTGATTGATGTTCATTCACAAGGAAGCCAGAAGGAATAAACTGTGGTCTTTTGCAGTATGTCGGGGCTAAGAGAACTAATCCCCGAAGAGTGAAGAGAAAAAACTGTTGATGGTGGCTGGAAAGAGTCAACTGCTGTAGCTTTTCTTGGAGAAAATCACAAAATGGGGAGCACAAAACTGGTTGGATTACAGAAGATGAATTAGTAAGGAAAGATGGGTTAAAGATATAAATTAGAGGCAAAGTTAAGAAGAATGTGGATTCCTCATTATACTCACAAAGGTGAGGATGGAAAAGTTGACGGAGCAAGACTGTGAAGTGTCTTACATGCAAGACTAAGAAGTTTGGACTAGATTCTGAAGACTTAGGGGAACCAGTGAAGAAATCTCAACAGAGGAATCAGATTAGATCATAGGGTCAGAACAATTATTAGCAAGCAGGGTAGGTGAAGTTCCAGTTGACCCAGTTTGGTCAGTTGTCCCCTGCTTAGCCTTTTTGAGACCAGGGGCTTTTCGTGGTTAGTTTACCAAGACACAGAGAATAATTAATTCTCCCAAGTAAAGTAAAACACTGTTATATAAAACAAGAATAGATGTGGGATGCCAAAAAAGCAGTATGTGTCTACCAGAGGATGCCATTACTACATCTACCACTAATACTAATGTACACTGGAAATAAGTTGCAGTTTATAAAATTTTTTCTGTAACAATCTTGAAAGGTAGGAGGGCAGGCATTATTTTCCAAATGAAAAAACTGATGTCTAGGTTTTTTGACTAATACCCCAGTTTAAAAAGTGTCAGTGATCAAACCCAAGTGTTTTGATTCCTAGCCTTGTCTCTTTCTGCAATACCACATGACCTGTCTGTATGAAGAAGCTATAGAATAGGCTATGTTTAAAAAAAAATGTGGTTGCTACTTGAGGGCATGGGTCATGATTGCTACTTGCTCCAGGTTTTTATTTCTTAGTGAAACTGCCCACAACCGTGACCGAAGCTCTGACTTCAAAGACATAGTTGTTATTGTCTAGATTGCATTCCTTCCCACTGAGCATGACTCACCCCTCCTTCCACACCATATATCTGAACCATCCACAAATCGTTATAGATGGCTCTTTCAGTGGTTTCAGAAATATCCAAAGACATGTGATTCACAGAAACGGGAGGACAACCACTGATTCAACATTAAACACAAAAACTATACTGAACACCCTTTAATGTCTTTTGATGATTCAGAAGGTAAAGTCATTGTGAAGTTGGAAATGCATATACTGTTTTGGGGGCTTTGAGATGACAATGACAGGTACCTTAGAAATATTTAGACTGTCATTTGGGACCATAGGGCCATACCAGCAGTCACAGAAAGTGGGATTGTCCAGAAATCTTCCATCCAAGATTATACATTTGTCTAGGATCAGTGGTAAGGACAGGCTGTTTATCATCTGGAACCATGCCACTGTTTGGATAGGAATAAAGTTCCCTGGGGCATCTCCAGCTGGCAGGCAAAGGACTTCACCATTTCAGGAAAGTTCACACAGGGAAGTTATTTTAAAATCTAAAAGCAGCTTGCCTTGTTCTTGTGTCTTTTGATGTACAATCTGAGGGCTTGACCCCTTCTTTCTAATGTCCTATGGTAGCTTGTTTTTTTTTTTTTGAGACGGAGTTTCGCTCTTGTTACCCAGGCTGGAGTGCAATGGTGCGATCTCGGCTCACCGCAACCTCTGCCTTCTGGGTTCCGGCAATTCTCCTGCCTCAGCCTCCTAAGTGGCTGGGATTACAGGCATGCGCCACCACACCCAGCTAGTTTTTTATATTTTTAGTAAGAGACGGGGTTTCACCATGTTGACCAGGATGGTCTCGATCTCTCGACCTCGTGATCCACCCGCCTCGGCCTCCCAAAGTGCTGGGATTACAGGCTTGAGCCACCGCGCCTGGCCGGTAGCTTGTTTTTTAAAGGCCTT